CAGGAAATTAGGACATCAAAAAGGATGTATGAGAAAAAGTTGGCTGAAAATAAAAAAAATGAACAGTAAAGATTTCTTTAAATACATTAAGGGGAAAAAAAATGTTAGGATAGAGACAGGACCCTTGAGGAATGATAAAGGAAGGCTAGATGATTATGAGATGGCTGGGTTATTAAATTTTATTTTTTCTTCAGTTTTTACTAATGAAGATTAAGCAGTATTCCACATCTTGATCAGTTGACAAATGGAAACGAGATAAAAAAAAGATGACTGAATTAATTCTGAGCAGGTTAAGAAAAAAATTGGGAAGTTTAAAAATTGATAAGGCTTCTGGGCCAGATAATATTTCCCCAAGGGTTTTGAATGAGGTTAAAGATGGGATATGTGAGCCACTTGCTACTATTTTTTGTCAGTCCATGAATAGTTGGCAGGTAGCAAAGGATTGGAAGTTAGCTAATGTCTCTTTTCAAGGGAGGTGATAAAAATTATCCCAATAATCATAGACCCATTAGTCTTACATCAGTTGTGCAAAAAAGTTTGGAAAGTCTGTTAAAAGATGCTTTTTTAAAGTTGTTTAACAAAGTTTAGGATTTTGTTGGATAGACAAAATGGTTTCACTAAGGGAAAATCTTGCCTTACAAATCTTTTAACATTCTTTGAAAAGGTTACTGCTTATGTAAATGAGGGTAAGGGTGTAGATTTGGTGTAGCTGGATTTTCAGAAAGCAATTAGCAAGGTGTCACATAAAAGGCTTGTAAAAAAAATTAGCTCTATAGGTGTGGAGGATAAGTTAGCAAACTGGATAGAAGAGTGGCTGTATATAAGAAATCAAAGGGTTGTTACAAATGGAGTTCAGTCAAACTGGATTAATGTCACAAGAGGGGTACTTCAGGGCTGAGTCTTTGATCTTTTTGATTTATATCAATGACATAGATGAAGGGATAGTCAATAAATTACTTAAATTTGCAGATGATATAAAGGTCTTGGGTGTTGCTAGCTGTGAAGAGGATGCTGCTGATTTACGAAAGGATTTAGATCATTTAGTGAGTTGGGCAAATAAGTGGCATATGGGTTTTAATTATAATAAATGCAAGATAATGCATGTGGGTTATCATAATTTGAATTATAAGTATAATTTGGATGGAAATAACCTTAATATTATTATGAAGGAAAGGGATCTTGGTGTAATAGTCAATCAGTCTTTAAAGCCATCTAAGCTGTTGCTAGTGATAGGGAAAATAGGATTTTAGGTTGCATCTACGGAAATATTGAATAGAAGTTTAAAGAGG